ATGCTTCATTAAAATTAGACCGTTATATACCTCCCTCGAGATATTCTAGAAATTATCGTCACTNTTTACGATCTCTTAGTAATTGATAACCCAAATAGTATTAATAGTATTAATAGAAAAGTTATGAAATATTTATTATAAATATTATATTAACGTTATGAAATAAATATTATGAAATATTTTTTGTATTAATGAAATGGAGTTGGATGACTCTACTGATAATCGGAAACTAAATTTCGACGGCTTTATAGTATCAGGGAAGTATGGAAGTAAGTATAAACTATTTAAAAAATAAATACTCGTGGAAGTAAGCTTATCATGCTTATTTCTGATTATTATGATTATTTCTGATTATTACAAATTTGTAACTTTTGATGGTTGTTCCTCATTTGAATCTCTGATAACTAAAATTTATCTTAATAACAGAAATATTTCCCTTCTAAATCTATACACTCACTATGGAAGCAAACCGCTCACCTGGCTATGGAAGCAATTTCACTAGGGATCCTTACAACCTTAAACTCTTCAGCCTTTACTTAGATTAAAATTATTTTGCTGTCGATTATATAATTGTTGGTGATCCCAGTTTATTTCTTAATTAATTTTTTTATTTCTTCTTAATATGCCAAATATAGATTGGGAAAATAGTTGCTTGAAAAATAGCAGAAAATTTGAGGACTTTTTAAATCTTTATACATATATAGGTCTAGAGCAACATGTTAAGATTGCCACTAGACATAAAATTATTTTAGATGTTGTGTTAGCTGCTCCTACTTTTGTTGATAACAGAATCTTGGAGCCTTTTTATAATAGTGATCACAACATCATTCATGCTTCATTAAAATTAGACCGTTATATACCTCCCTCGAGATATTCTAGAAATTATCGTCACTATGATTATGAAATCTTTAATTCTATACTCGCAGAAATAAACTAGGATTTCTTATTCTGTTTAGCTCAATCTATTGATGAAAAAGTTCACTAAAGCCGATTAAACCGATTCCCAATTTTTTAAAATCTCTTAAAAAAAGTGTCAAGAATAAATATATTTATAATATAATATAATAAAGAATAAATATATTTATAATATAATATACAAATTAACCAAAATGCCAAGTGACCTCCCTGCATATAAAGAATGCTTAAGAAGTTTCCGTAGTGCCATTCATAATTACTTTTCAAATAAAGAAGAATAACTTTTAATGATTAATAGAAATTCTTTCTGGACCTACATCGAAAGAAAATTTGCAAATCCATGTAAACAATTAACTCTACAACATAATGATAATATGATCACCTCTGATATTGATATTGCAAGTGTATTTAATCAATATTTTCTAGTGTATTTGTTGAGGATAATATTCACACTTCTTGTTTTAACTTAAATCGAATTTGTTGCACTCCTCTCGGTTGAAATACTACTGGATGTTTATGATGCTCTAAATAGACTTAAGCCATCCATTTCAATTGATCCCGATATTCCACAAATAATTTATAAAAGCAGTTTCACTTAGTCTTTTCTCCTATATTTAATTTATAAGGACATTATGAAATCTGACCTTAATCCTAAAATCTGGAAATTGTCTCATATAATTCCCATTACATAAAAAAGGAAGCACCTATGAGCCTTCTAATTATAGACCTATTAGCCTAACTTGCGTTGGTAGTAAGGTACTCGAAAGGTTGATTTGCAACAAATTGCTAACTTATCTTGATACCTCCTATCAGCATGACTTTTGTATAAAAAAAAAAAACTACTTCACAAATATTGGCAAATCTTTCAGATTGGTCAGCATCAATTGGCAATGGGAAAACATATCAGTTGTGCACCTAGATTTGGCTAAAACTTTTGATACTGTTCCCCATAGCAAATTATTGATCACTATTAAGTTATGGCGTTACAGGGGCCCTTTATTATAACTGGGTATCAGATTACAAAAAAGATCGTCACCAAGCTGTATGTGTTAACAACATTCTCTCTGACACAACACCTGTTAAATCTGGCGTTCTCTAAGGTAATGAGCCATTGCTTTTTCTATTATATGATAATACCAATGTGGCACTGAATTCTACCATTTATCTTTAAGTTGACGATTATAAAATTCATTATTCTCGTGGTAGATCGGATATCGGATATCCACTGCAGGAGAACCTTAACAGAATAGCCAGAATAACTGGCTATATAACAGGCAAATTATCCTTTCTTTTCAAAAATTTAGCGTTCTTCATATTAATTCTTAAGGTTTCAATTTTCCTAATCTTTTTATTAATGGCAATATAATCAGTAGAGTCTCACATATTTTGGAATAATCATGAAAATCTCGATTTCGACCTTCAAAAGAACCATGGTAAAGAAATCCTCAAAAATATTAAATTTTATTTTTTGTTTGTTTAAGAACAAAAGTGAAGATTTTCTTATCAAAATGTATAAAGCGTTCGCTCGGCCACTTCTTGACTACAATACTACATGTTATTCCCCGAGATATCATAAATCAAGTGAAATAACTGAAGGACTCCAAAAATATTTTATATGATGTCTCTCTTCTAATTGTAATTTTAATTATAAAAGAAAACTTCTACAATATGACCTGGATTCTCTCTCAGTTCGTCGTATTAAACAAGATTTATAGTTATTAATTTATACTTATAAGATTTTACATGGTTAAACCAGCTTGTTCATAATTTTAGGTTAAATTTAAATCCAACAAGAATTAATAGGCTAAAATTATTAAAATCTATATGCAAAACTAAACTAAGGACTCATGATTTCTTTATTCGTACTATTAATTACTGGAATAAATTATCGAACGATATAGCTTGTGCATCATCCCTAGCAATTTTTTAAAAAGATTAGATAATATCATTTATGATATTATTTAAAAAGTTCACATCATGCAGGAAGTGTGAAATCTCGACTTTCATCATCCGACTATATTTAATATAGTTAATATAATATAGTTACCTCGAATTATACTATATTATTCCTCAATTTCCTCTTTAAACTGTTAATTTTTGTCATATTTTCTATTTTTCTTTTTACTAAATTTTTAAATTTTATTATTTGTTTTTTTTTAACTATTATTAATACAAGCACATGGCGTTGTCGCTGCTTGGCTGGTTTTCCATAAATATCACAGATTCACAGATCTTGAATATGCTGATGACGTAATCCTTTTGCTTGACACCTATGATGAAATTCAAACTATAAAATTAAACAGTGCCAGTAGCGAGAATCGTAGTAAATAAAACGAAAGACTTTTTATTCTTATATTTTTATTCTTATATTCTTTTTATTCTTATATATATAGGAAACTAATACCTATAAAATATCTATTTTTATGAATTCATTGTCGGTTGAGGAAGTGTTCGATGTGTTCGATTTTAAATACTTTGGATCTAATCTAATACTGAATGACCAGTAAAAAATGAAATTAGACGGAGAAAGGCAGCTACAAATGCGTTTTTCCAGTTGACGAAACTTTATGGAGCCATCGTGATACTACCATAAAAACGAAAGTCCGCACCTATATAGCCGCGATTCGTTCCATCTTACTATATGGCTCTGAGATATGGCTAGTGGAGGATATAAAGAAGATATAAGAAGAAGAAGATAAAAAGTGGAGGATATTATTCTTTTTTTGACTATTTAAGGTACATTTTACGGATTCTTCGAGTGGACAAAATCTCACATGATTGCATTCACCTTCGTTTAGATACCACTTGTATTAATAGTACCATCATAAAGCGCAGCCTTCGCTGATTTGGGCACGTTCTTCGTTGGACATCACAAAAGTTGACACATATTTCGTTACTGCTAAACCCTGTGATGGGTGATATCAAAGCGAGGTGGGCCAATCAAGACTTGGAGTGATACGGTCAGAAAAGATTTTGAACCGCTGGAGATTAGATTGAAAATTTGATTACTGAAATATATCTGGCTCACTTTAATTTATTTCGGGGGGAGTATCAATATATGGACTTAGACGATGAAAAAAGGAATGGCTTCTATTACTGTCGACGATGGCATCAGACCGCACTGAAATCTTACTCTTGTAGCCAGCGAAGCCATCTTAATCAGTAAAGATAAGAGTTGTTGATAGAGCTGTGATAATTATCTTGGAATTAGTCTACTAAATATTTCTGAGAGAATTTTCGCTTCTCTTCTGTGGAAAATACCAAGCTGGATTTACAGCATGGCATGCTGACCAAATATTCACGCTAAGAAAAGTCATCGCTTCAAATAATCGAAAAGCCACCATCACTGGCTTTACTGATTATATCGCTGCTTACAATTCAGTTAATAAAACTAAGAAAGCTGAGCTCTGGAGGGTGAGAAAATCATTCGACTCTTAAAGACTCATGTCTATAGGGTGTGAGGAAAATTAACAAATTTGAAATTAATAAATCCTTTATTAGATATAAAAACTGACATGGGAGAACTGCAGCTGAGGAAATACTTAGTTTTACAAATTTAGTACCGATTGACAAAACAGCGAAATTCCAGTCTACATGGCTTTGGGGCTGGAGACTTGTAGACCAAGGCAAGATTATATAGGAGCTTTGGAGGTTTTAGGGAAGATTAATCAAAATTCAGAGAGATTTTTAGTGATATGATAGAATTTGGGAAACAAATTAAGATAATGAGACAAACAATGATAATGAGAAAGTTTCGCTGGTTGGTCACATGGTGAAAGAAGTTGAATAATCTGAAGACAAACATTCGTCACTTATTATGGATAAAAACTAAACTATTTAATTGAAATGAACCATTCAAAATTAAAATAAAATTTAAAAGTCTAGAGCATCGGAAGCTTTATGTGAAATTTTAAAAAAATATATCTATATATATTATTAAAAATTTATATATATATAAATATATATATAAATTTTAAAAAAATAGAACTCTATTCAAAAATATAAAATTTTGTAAAATCACTTGACTTTTAACGAAAAATTTTCAGCCGAAATAAATTAAACTGAGCCAAATACCATTTCGATAATCAAAGTTCCAATCTAATCTCCAGCGATTTAACAGCTGGATTGACTTTCTCAATAAATTTACAAAGTAAAATAACGATAGTATTCTATTTTATAAAATATTAAATCGGCTTCAGCTTTGCCTTTATAAAGGCTGGTACAGTTTGATCTCATAATAAATTTGTCATAGGAAAGTTTCAAAATTTATTTAAAATTAAAATTTTATAGAAAAAGTTAAGAAATTTGGAAGGAAAGCATAAGAAAAGTTGTTTCAGAGATATTTCAAAGATATTTAAAAATAATCGTAAATAAAATGGTAATTTCTGCTGATTTTCGTAAGCAAAAAAATTTTGCCAGTTTATGATATTAAAAACTAAAGAAATCTTCAAAATTATTCTACTGCCGATATGGAGTCTATAAAACAATAGTAGGAGAGTAGTGCATAATTATAAAGGAATAGAATGGCTCAGTGGGTTGTTGCTCAATTCTGAGTGCCGATGCTGAGGTTCTACTCTATTCCCCGCAGGAATAAACCTGTCCAAAAAACTGGTGATGCTGGCCACTCACCTGTACTTCTATCACCAAAGGACTTCTAAAAATATTTGTCTACTGCGACAAGCCAGTGGAGCGAATGTAGTTAATAATGGTATGTGCTTTTAAAAAAAACAAGTCACAAATTAAAAAAATCATAAAAAACAGTAGAGTCAAAATAAATGTACCTTAAAAACGAAATAATTTCCTGGATCGAAAATACTCTCTACCTGCACTAAATCATCTTCCTTTAATTTTATTTGAAAACCTGATAATGCAGTAGCAGCTGCCCGATACTTCTTGACAAGATCACTTTGAATAAGTAAAGCACTACTTTTTTCCTTTTCCACTTTATGTAGCTGATATTGCAAATCTAAATACGTAGAACTTTTATGGAAATAAACTGACAGTGTAAGATCCTGTACTAAATAATAATTTCCTAAGAAAAAGTTTACTATTAAGATTAGCAAAATTTTTAAATATAACCTGAAATTTGTTTTATCAACTCATCATGATATTTCTGTCGAATTGATGAATCTAAATCCTGGTGTGATATCTCCTGAAAAATTTTGGATTATAATATAATATAATAAAAGCAATAAAACCATCTACTAAAGAAAAATTTGTTCAGATAAAAAAAGAATGATAAAGTAGATTTTACTTATCAACCGTAAAAATCACCCTCAGTTTCAAGTGAATCCTTTTTTAAAATATCATCGCTCAATTTCAAAAACAAGAAGAAGAAACCGAACCTGCCTCCTCTTCTTTGTTAACTGAAATTCCTGATATTCTTTATGAGCAAGATCCAGTGGATTTGAACGATAATGGAGAATTTTCGTGGTTTCTGAAGAAGCTTCCTAAATGTTTTTAATTTATTTAAAAGAAATTGCAGAAAAAAGAAACTTTGTTATATATTTTGATTCTTACATGTTTTATTATATTTCGATTCTTACATATGTTTTACATATGTTTTGAAATTTCAAGGAAAATTTGTTTGAGTTTTTTGCAAAATTTCGAAAAAATATTTTTCTTTATTGCAAAAAGCATTGTAAATGGACAATTAAAAATTTACATATTTCTCAAGCAATTCACGCAATTCAGCGATTTCCATTTCATACTTTCGAATGATTTCAATAGAGGCATTATTATTTTCATTATTTACTCCACATTCAGCATTCGTTTTTGACTCGCAACTTTGCTTAAACAACTCGTGTTCATTTTTCAAAGTTTCGTAATTCATGGACCTTAACAAAATCAAAAATTTTCAAATCAAAACATGCAGAAATTTTAACCAATTTAAAACCAATTTATTTTTAAACTAACAACAAATTCGAGAATGATTTGATAATTCTTTTCCTCCTTCTAACAGATCGAACTAATATTCGCTGCATCTGCATCTTACTATAGTAAGATATTTTATTTTAAGTTTTCTGATCCGATGCCATGAAATTAACTGAAACCAGCCCTTTTTTCATCGTCTAAGTTTACATATTTTTTGGCCTTTACATTCAAAATCCCTAAGGCAGGCATGATTAAAAGTAGAAAAACTTATATCTTCCATTCTCGCTGGCTTCGTAGCCATAAAGAAATCATTTTGAGATTATTTTCAAAGAGAAGATGAAAAAGTTTAACTACAACAATCCAAGCTGGAATTTCATTGTTCACCAGACCAGCGAGTAAAAATAAACCTGATAATTGAAACTCAGCTCTTCTTGGAAACCAATCTTCTCTACTGCTGTGTCAGCAATCGATCTAGTGTCCATTGCAGTCCCTTATAACTATCAACCAATACTTTAAAGGACAAAATCATCAATTCAAGGTTGTATTTAATATATCCATGATATTATGCTCTGGATTAATTTGTATATCTCTTGAGTGCTGATAAGCGGAATAGATAACCCAGCACACTTGAAAAGCAAGAAGAAGAACACAACCTTGACCCAGTTCATACTTCAAAAGGGCACTGCATCAATTCATCATATTTTCCAAATCACTTCAATAGAGAGTTTTCTAATGATTTCAACATACAAACGCATTATACGCTAATAAAACGCTCTAATAAATCTGATTATCTTTTTAGCAATATCATTATCCATAATCCACCAGAAGACTCTTAACGACAATAATAGATGATAGACAACAGACAACAGAATCAAAAGCAGAGTAAACAACAAAATAAACAAAACTTGAAGGTACATTGTTGAAATTTGAAGCGATGTTTCAATGTGAAGATTGTTACCTATTCGAGTTGCAGTCTCCATGTTCAGAGTTACATCCCTTTTACTTTCTGTTGCCATAGCCGTTAATCCGCGAAAGCGCCGATAAAATAACTGGTACCAGAATTCCTCAGCTGCTCCAGACGTCATTGACATCATAATTGACATCATTTCATTGACATCATAATTGTTATTCTCTCGATACCTCAATATGAACTGCTAATAAAACGCTCATTATTAACGCCTTAAAGCGTTACCCATTATTTCTGGATCTTTCAACTCGAAATAATTAATGATTTTGATGAACGACATTTTATGCCTATATCAATTTCATTCAAACCTTCGATCAAACCATAATATCGTACGGCTCGTTGAGTTTGCTAGTTTCAACTTTTAGTGTCTAGCGCAGAATTCCTCCAATGATTATTGACCAAAATATAATCAATTCGTTTTAAATGTTGATTAACCAAAAAGTATGAAACTTTGATGCAGAAAATAGGTGTTATATTACTAACAAAAAGTTTATGCTCCTCACCAAAACATAAAAGATTCCATTAGCAGATCGGGCACAAACAATATGCGTGCTCTTCACTATTTTTTTTTTAGAGAGAAATATACAAAGTGAAGGTGATGTTTTATCCTTCTTCAGATATAGTTGTCTATGCAGATCCAAATCATTTATGCATAAATGTGGAAACATATGGACTGATGACTGAAATAATATGGAATTTGCCTTCAAAGGGGAAAGAGGACAACCGATCACCATAACGTGCAATTAAAGTTGATTTAGTCCTTTGGATAATCCCGACTCCATTTCTCTTTAAGTTAATCGAAAAGCACTCCCTAAGAAGTACTGTGGTAAAGCCAACATTTTTTTCCGGAATATTGTTATTACTGGTCAAAAATGGGACCTCTGATAGGCGAGCGATATCCACAAGGCATCTAGATAAAGTGTGGATAATTGTCGCTTGATTTCCCATATTTATAAATATTTTACGCAGGAATGGGCCAAGACCTCACCGTACATACAAAGATCTGTCTAATATTTATTCCTTAGGTCTTCTTCAGGTCCTCATTTATATTTATCGTATGCGCCATTGAGATACCATACTAATTGGGATACAGTGAAGAGAATTAAACCATAGACTTACCTACTGCCTACTGCCACCTACTGCCACCTGGATTTTTCAACTTATGACAAAATATCGTTGAGCCTTATCAAATGGAAAGAATTTTAAAAATTAAACCAAATTTATTTTTTATTTTAGTTTCAGTTTAGTTTTTTTTAGTATTTTAGTTTTTATTTTCGAATTTTCCAAATATTTTTTTATTTTCTATTCTTTGTTTTCAAATTTAAAAAGAGATTAGTTTATCAAATTTCAATTAAGTAAACTTGAAAAATAAACCTACAGTGCTGCAAAACTCTGAATTTGCTCTTCTAATTTCCGATTCTTCAAATTCAATTCACTATTTAACGCATCCAATCTGGAAAAATTTCAATGTAGAACCTATCTATTCTCCATTAATTTAAAAAATTATGCACACATTTTTTTAACATGGCAAGAATTTTTTTCCGAGAATAACCGTGGAATTTTTACAAAAGAATTGTAAAAAATTGTGCATCGCAGTGGATTAAAACTGACTTTGCCTGGTATTCTATATTGAGATTTACAATGGAACGTGAATTACGAAGCAAATTTGTATGATCCTGCGAACTCTTATTTACATCTTGATAAATTTCAGCACTGCCTTCAATATTCATTGATTTAATAGCCAACAGTTCTTTGAGCCTTTCATTCTCTTTCTGAAATATTTGTTATAGACAAAATATACGAAAAACTGCACAAAATTAGCAGCTATTTTGCAGCTTAATAATAGATTTTAAAGAATTGTATCGCTATATAATAAATTAAACTAAAAGAGTTTAAAAAAATGGAAAAAATACATACAACTAAATTATCAATCGTGTCGGATAAAATAACCAGTCGATTTTCAAGAAAAAGCTTCTCAGCTTGTTTCAATTCATGTTGACTCAACTTATTTCTGAATAGTAATTCAAAAACTTTAATTACACAATCTCAATACAAACAAATAAAAGCAAAATGCTACATAATAAGAACGATAAATCTAATCATTAAATCATTAAAAAATTTTTTATTTCTAGAATATCATATCGTTTCTTAACAGTGAAAAGATTAACTTTGCCAATTTTAACTGAGTTTCTAAAAAAAAATTCTGGTTCTCAAATCTTGATTTTTCTTCCATGATTTGATCAAAGTGACTAATCTGAATTTGAACAGAATCGCTAATTTGAGAAACTGAGAATTTTTGAATATCGGCTTCTTCCACCACTGCTTGAACACCACACTCCTTTTTTACTAAAAATCGAAAAATTATATTTTATATTAAAATTATATTATATTTTATATTTATATTTATAAAAATTATATTTTTCATCGAATAACGTTTTTTTGCACAAGCAAAATTCTAAATTCCTTTAATTAATTGAAATGCACCCAATAAGCAATTTAAAAATTTTTTTAAAAATAAAGTTTTTTGTTCGCTTACCAATATTAGGATTTAGATATGAACCTTGCCAAATATTATTAACATCCTCGTTAATTGCTGATACCCCACAAATTTCCGTTGATGCATCGACCAAAGTTTTTTTCACGATGGCAGCATTTTCCAATTCGCACATTGGTCTAATTTCTATAAATTAGCACAGTTAATAAAATAAAAATATTATAATAATATAATAAAAGTTTTTTTAACATGGAGAGAAAAATTTGTTAAAACATTTAAAATTTATTATTACACTATTTTTTCTTTCTCTATTAACTCTCACCATTCCTGACTAGACTGGCTCAGCTGGCTACAAGGGTAAGGCTACAAGGGTTTTTTCTTTCTCTATTAACTCTCACCATTCCTGACTAGACTGGCTCAGCTGGCTACAAGGGTCACCAAGCTATTCGGTCCGACGCTATTGCTAATAGCAACAAAAGCCATTCATTTTTTCATCGTCTAAGTCCATATATCATTAATCCATCTATTATTCAAAATCTTTCCTGACTGCACCAGTCCAAGCTTTGATTGAATCATCTAGCTTTTGATGCCATCCGTCACGAAAGACTCTTGTAGTGGGCGATGAAGAACCTAACTAGAGAAGACGGCGATAATGCAAGTTAATGCAAGTGATATTTGAGTGAGAGTAGAAGCAATCCTGTACGATTTTATCCACTCAAAGGACCCGTAAGATCTTAGACATGAGTGGCAAAAGGCAGATAGCCTTTATTCCTCCACTCTCAATGGCCAGTGCTCGCAGCCATATAGCAAGATCGAGAGAACTGCAACTAAACAGATGCGGACTTTCGTTTCTGTAATGATTTAGTGACGAGCCATAAAGATTTCATCAACTGGAAACCTGACATTCCTCTTGGCAACCTTGTCATACATTTGGACAATTGCTTCCAATACCCAATTAACGGATTTGCTATTAGCATATCAAAATGTGGATATGGCTGTTTTTCAAAAATTCCTTTGGTTTGTTTGGTTTGGGACCAATACTCTTTCTAATTAAATATAAAATAAATTAAAGATTCCGATCAGGCAAAATCACAAAAAATAAAAAAGGAAAAATAACGCGAAGCAGATGTAAAAAATGCAAGGATCGAATCGAATCTCGCCTTATTATCCTAAAAACGAATGAATTTAGATGAAAAATTTTTTGAAATTAGGAGTATATTTTTGCAATAAATTCTTTTATATAATAGAAATTTCTTTCAAATTTTTTGATATATAAATAATTTTGGCATAATATTAAAGTATAAGAAGGTATAGGAATATTAAATAAAAACTTGAATTGGTATGAGAAAAAAAAATTCGTCGAATGTACGAAAGTAATGAATTTGGTGATAAACCAAATTTCTACAAACCAAGAATAAATAATTTTTAATAAAAGCTATTTTCTTACTACTATTACTATTATCTTACTATCTCATTATCTTACAATTATTTTAAATTGTTTTCAGAAAATACATGGCAAATTGAATTAGAAAATTCCTAAAAAATTATGGAATTTAAGAAAAAACACCTTGCGATCCTTTTCACGTTGGTGTCGCTCAGATTCTAGTCTTTCTTCAAATTCGTTACGCATATTCTGCATTTGATCTTCACTTTCTTTTAATGTTTTCGCCAATCTTGCATAAGATAATTTCAGTTCATCGCAAAGTGATCGGTATTTTACATATTTTTCTTCAGCCAGTCGAGCATGAAGAGAAAGCTGGCGAACTGAAAAATTTTAACTTTATTAATTTCTTAATTTTTAATTCCGATTAATTAATATATTAAATAAACATTAATATTGATATTATCGACATTTGCTACTATCATTACCACTAACATTTTTAATTTATTGATGTTGCTCTACAATTTCAAAATATATTTAAAAAAAAAATATGGATTACCAGATTCAGCATTATTAAGAGAACAGCTATTCGTCAAAAGATCAAATGTACGCAAACCAAACATCCCTGTTGGACTACCAGAAGCATCTATAAAAATTATTAAAATAATAGCAAAAATTTCGCAAACTCAAAATGTTGTTCAAACTCAAAATTTATAATTTCGTTGAATCATTGGATAATATCGATAAAACAATACTAAGAAATTAATTAACTAATAATTTTTTCATTACAAAATTACCAATATTTATTACTATTACCATTATTGTTGATTTCAAATTAATACTCCCGTTCTAATATATAACATTAATAACAAAATATTAATTAATTGTCAGACTACCCCAGAATGGGGTAGAATGGCGGCTCTCGTTCCAGAGCGTTTATGCTGAGGTTCTAGTCTCAGCCGACCCACATGTACTCCTCTAGACGTCTGACCCCTTAGCAGAAATCCGTCCGGCAAAGCGAACCGAGCAACCCAGAAATACAAGCGCATTTCACGAAAGAATTGCCGGGTTCGGGGGAACGGCAGGCGGCGACTCCGCAACATGCCAGACGCATTCGATCACGTTGCACCACCTGCAAAACACGCAAAACGCTGCGAGACAGCGTTCAATTCAATTTAAACATTGCAAATATGCAAATCTAAGCAGAAATATTCGCCGTAGAACGTGTACGTTTTAGTTTGTAGCGAAGAAGATTTCAATTTTATTAAACCAAAGAATTTAAAAAGAAAAATAATAACTAACTTTCATCCATTGTTGCGCAACGCTTTTCGCTTATTTCGTAAATTTCCTTCTGAAATTCCTGAAAAAATGCTATTTCGGAAGTAAAAAGAACATTTAATAAAAAATCAGAAATATGAAAAACTGAAAATGTTTGGAATAACCGAAGAAACAAAAAATAGAAAAATTTCTATGAAACTTATAACAGCCGAATTTATTACTACTAATCGGCCAGAATATATGTCGGATACGCTGTTACGGAATCGGATAGTGGTGCGTTAGCGAAAAGGGGGATGAAAGTGGCTTCGAAGGAAGAGGGGGAAAGGACCGAGTGGAAGAGTGGAGTAGTTTTGGCTGTGAGAATATATTAGCTATATTGTTAATTTTTTCGTTCATTAAAGGCCCTTTCTAATGAGATTTATCAGTTAATTATCGAATGGCTAAACAAATGAGTTTTTCATTTATTGGCTCAACAGCAACATTTTGTACTTGCAATTGGGGAAATGCGCGAAAATTTATTGAACGATTCGGGAAGTAGTCGTTAATGATTATCGAATATGCTGTTGGGGTCGTAATTTTTAACCTGGCGACTTGGTGAGTCAAAATTTTACCGCTGGTCAGCAAAAAATTAACTCGCCAAGACGTGCCTATATTTAATGCGATGCGCAAGCGAGCTTTTCTTCTGGTCGGACTCGCCGCGTTGTTTTGTCGAATTCTGCAGTGAGCTCACTGCTGTTAAAATTACTGGTGGGTCACCTCATTTTTTGGAGGGCAAGTCTACTTCTGATTGGAGGTGGATCTTGGCTCAGACGCACCCAGGGAATTTTCTAGCAGATCTTTCATAATTTGGTTATTAGGTAGGCTTTAGCTTGACCAGATGAACCAACTAGAAATCTCTCTGAATCATGCGTTTAGCATCTCCATCGCAGGAGTATTCTACTTGATTGAGTTTCAGAAAAGCAACGAGTTTCGAATATTTCCTTCGTTTTTAAATGCATTAGCTTGATATTTTTTTTGCTGAAACACGGAGGAGCTACTGTGCAAGGTGGGTACCGCCCGATTATTCGTTGGCTGTTGTGTCTGGCTTTATAATTATGAGTTTAATTATAAATGTCGAGGTCTTAATAAATATTAATTAAATATATTTATTAGAGAATAATTATTCAAGTAAGATTTATATGTTGTATAAGCGTTTCTAAGCAAACAGTTCCATTGCAAGACCTCTTAAACGTTGGGTTTTTGACATCACACCCATAGGTACTGAGGCGTTGCATGTAAGAGGGTTCTAGACATTATAGATGATTCTTCTGAGGTAAGTTTTTAAAAAATATAAGTTCAGTTGTGCCTCTGGCGACCTCTCTTGCTTTGTTCGCTTTGCTTACATATGTTGGTGATTTATTTTGCCAGACAATATCTTCACAGTATTTTTTTTTAAATACAGGAGTACTCACTCGAATCATACGAGTATAGCTGTTGTAAGAGCAATGATTGGTACTGATGGAAGTCTTCTTTTTTATTTGAATTTTATATTTATTGTTTCGATTTACTTTTTTGCTATTTTTTGCCATAACAATAATTATTGTTAAAATGTTGTCGAAATTTTGATTTCATTTTGATTTATGTAGAAAAATGTCGACAAAACATTTGCGTCGTCTTTTGGAGGAAAAAGAAGGTCAAATGCAGAAAAATAAGAAAGAGAAATCGAGTTCTGAAAGCGACAAAGAAGGGCAAATTTATCCAGCTAATAGGTTTTTTTATAATCCTAATGGCCTTATTTGTCCTCAAACCTTTAGAGATACTATTAAATCAGACCAAAATTATTTTTTTCATTTTCGATTCTAATGCTTTTTGTCACTCAGATTTATTTTTTACCTTTGCTTTTTTTTCAATGGTTGTTCTATCACTGGAAAAAGTTAACAAAACCATAAAGATCTACCATTATGGGGTCACAGAATTTTTGCTTAACCACTGATTTCAAAATAATTTTTATGCCGACAGTAAATAATTCTTACCATTGCCGTTTGTAGAGCTTTTAAGATTTCACTAAATATAATTTTCATAAAATTTTTTCAAATGTTTTCTTAATATTTGCAGGTTTTAGAGAAATTTTATGAATGGAATTTTTTTAAATTTAAATTTTTCCAATAATTTGAAGGTTTGCATTGCTGGAAGAAAATGATGATAAAAGTTTCAAGAGTGATTATAACAGCGGAACATCGGAAGATTGTGATACCGCTGATGGTCATTTTCAAAATCTGAAACAAATGCCAAAAAAATGGGGCAAGACCAAAAAGAAGAAAAAAATGCCGAAAAAAATTTTCAACATTATTAAGAATAGTGACGATGGTGAACTTGATTTGCATATAAGATCATTAGACAATCTTCTAGTTTCAGCTGAAACTGTGAAGTTTATTCGAGAACGAGATTTATTTAAAGTAGGTGTTTTCATACTTATTTTATTTTTTGAGCTCCAAAATCGTCCTCACTTTATTGGGAATAAATCTAGTACCTCAGATTATCGTCCGGATTACTTTCTGACTAAAGCAAATCTTTTAAAAATATCCTGCACTTCGGATCCACCTTAATGCTTATCTAGCCTCGTCTTTTTTGTAAATTTTTTCTGAATTGTCTGACAGAAATTTTTCATCATACTAACAACTAGTGGAGTAAGCCTATTCGAAAATGGCCGGCCAACCATTTATTTTTGTTTATGTTTTAATTCATTAATGAATTGGTTTAGATTTATATTTCATATATTCTTTAAATTCACTTAATTTTTGCGATATATGTTTATAGTTAAAATATTGCCTATTTTAAATGTAATCTTTTTTTACTTATAATTTACTTTTTTACATTTTTTTTACAATTCATAAATAATAACAGGATTTGTTTTAGTGATTGATATGTCTCGTCTAAAGCATGTCTAATTAACGTATTGAAAACAGATTTATAGAACAGAGCTGAAAATTTATTTATGATTTAATCAATTCGGGTGATTTTGCTAATTTTTCTCGAAACAAACAAAGAAAAGATTTTCAAGATTTTCAATATGTTAATTTATCATTTCTGGTTCTTAAAGGTTTTTAATGCTTCTTTAAAGGTAGATTATAAGGCACTTAATGCTGATGATGAACTTCGTATGATGCTAGGACGAACATCAAAAAATATAGTGAAAAACAATCGGAATTTTCGTATTGATCTTGGTCAAAAAATTGTAAGGAGAGATCCAAGTTGGCCAGAATTTAAGGCTGTTGGTAAATCTTAAAATTTATATTTATCATTGATCTGAAAGCAGAATTTTGCCGTAAGAAATTAAAAAATGATAAAGAAATTGTTTTTATTATCTGATATGGTAACAATAGATTTCAGGCTTGTCCATGGAAGTGGATAAGGTTGAAGGTGATAGAAGATGGTTTAAATTTGTTTTTAGTAAGGACTATATTGAATATCAGAAGAGATTCTTGCTTGCAGTTAAAAATTTCGATCATCATTACATCATGGTCTGTTTGAGATACCATTTTTTTCCCATTATCCCATTAGTAGTCTGATGCTGCAATGTTTTTATTTGAAAAATACGATATTCTTTTCTAGGATATTTGTGATACATTTTGAAGTCAAAATTTTTCAGAATATTCTTAATGAACGGCCGTATCATCTGGATAGTTCCTTGATGGTTGCTAGTATCTTATATCACCAAGAAGAATACCAACAATCCCGTATTCTCACTGGTTCTTTATTTATTTATTTATTTATTGATTTCTTTATTTTATTAAAAAATTTCTTTCGTATAAGCTCTATGCTTATTGTTTTTTTAAAGCTATTTTTATTTATTTATTGATACCTTTATTTTATTGAAAGATTTTCTTTCGTATAAGCTCTGTGCTATTATTTTTTTAAAACTATTTTAATAAAAGTTATTTAGTTGGTTTTTTTATTATCATTAGGAACTTTTTTTCTTGTAGAACGTGCCATATATGGTTGTCAATGTGCCTTTTCAAATTTTTTCGAACTTCACAATTATGATCACATTTTTGATTATTCTCTTGTTGAAAATCGATCTTTTTTTCTGTTGCTCAATCAGCATATGAAAAATGCGTTTAATCGTAAATGCTTCCAAACGGCTTTAAATCTGGCTAAGCTTATCTTTCGTCTTTGTTCGATTAAGGATCCTATGGGTATTTTATTGATTATCGATGCAATTGCAATTCGTGCTCGTCAGTTTTGCTTTGTGATTCAAGCTTATGAAACACTTGAGGTCTTTTTTTCCCGTTTTTCATTATTTATTAATCAATTTTTCATCATTAATTAATTTATTAATTTAATACCAAGTAGCTTTCTCAGTCTTGCCCAAGATATATTCTGCTTGCCATGAGATAAGAGTAAAAGATTCTTGATTCTTGTATCCACTTGCATTCGATGTTCATATGTATCAATGGTATCAACACGGATTATGTTATGCCTACTATGAGCCAATAGAATTGGCGCGTGCCTCGCTATAGTTGTGATGGTTACCATCATGAGCTGTGAGGACCAGTGTTATATGAATTATTGATACGATTAAGAAAAATTTTGAACGAAAAGGCCGCAGGCATACGGACTCATATGGCGGAAAAGATTGCTCTTATTATTTTCATATATAGTCGGAAAATTTGGAAATGCCTCATTCTAATATTAGAACCAGTGTATTTGTAGTAATCAGTAGTCCTTCAAAAGAAGAATAGCAGGATACTATTTTAAAAATAAAAGGTTTTTTCATACTGGTAAATTTTTCAGCCCTCTAGAAATATAGAACGTTTGCCAAATTTTGCATTTTCTGTTGCATTAGCACACTTTTTGCTGTATCAGGAGAATGGCGATGAAAAAAACAGAGAATCAGCAAATGAAATGGTTTCATTTATAACGATTAAATATTTATGAAATAATTACAAAACCATTAACTTAGTTATATTTTTATACCTTTTTATAACTGAATTTCAGTTAACAAAAGCGATTTACCATTTTCCTACTGTTCTTCTACAAATCCTTGAGCATATAAATTTAGAGCCAAGTGCTTCCGTTCTACAGAATGAGTTCATGTGCATATTGGCCCATCATCGGTTTGTATTTTTTAAATTGACCACTGCAAAAATTTTTCAATCTTTGAACCAATAATTTTGTTTATTTTTTTAGCGAAACAGAAGGATTCCAATTACTTACGTCGATATATCTGAAGCATACTAGTGATTTTTGGAAAGATGTGTCTATAATAAGTTGGGTGGAATCAGTCGTAGAAGAAATTTTGCCGACAATGAATGATTCCAATGAAGAACTGATAGAGTGGAATGCAATGTTATTTTTCATACTGCAAGATGAAAACATATCTATCATTTTCAATTTTTTACTTAAATCTAATTTTTTATAGTTATATAAATTTTCTTAAATTTTTCTGCCCGATGTTTGTTTTTACTTGAAAAATCTTTTAAATCTGAATGAATATGCGGTTAAAAAATCCATAAACATATCATTTTTACATGAATATATAAAAATTTTATAGAAATTTTTCAGTCGAAAGCGAGTCTATGCTGGTACACCACGAACTGTAATACGACATGCTTGGTTATGGGATATAATTCGGAATTCCGAATGGACATTAAATGATCCAGTGCCACCAATTGATTCACGTTCGTCCTACGATTATCTGCCTCCTGCTGAGCCGCCTATAGATCCCTTATATAGTATTGTTCAAGAAGCTATTCGAAATATTCATCATATTTTCGGGGGCATTCAACTAAACGTGGGTTTGATTAATTCGAAGACGAATACCAATGTTAGCATCGCGCATATATATAATACAACGCAAATCGCCATAGTGCAGCTAAAAATTGAGATTTCTTAACGGGACTTTTGTTGTTTTTTATTTTCTCTTAATTTTCTTTAATAATTAACACTGTGTTTGCATATTTTAATTTCAATATTTTAAATAAAATTTCCAAGCAAATTTTATTTTGCTACCTTTTTTACTACCTAAAATTTTTTTTCCTGGACAGGTTATGGTAATAATATTAATAATAATAAGAGCAGCAGTAATTTCGATAATGGTAATAATAATAATTTTGATAATAAATAATGGATTATTGAGTTAATGAGAAAAAATAATTATAAACAATGATAAGAAATAATAGAAAATATAATAATGAATAAAAATGGAAATATTACAAGTAACAATAAATATTTTAGATAATAATACCGAAAGTTTCCCATGATTTAATTTATTTTTTTATTTTTTGAATCTAGTGTTTCCTTCTTAGTGATTTTTTTTGGAAGATTTTGAAAATAAGATATTTTTTTATTCCGTTTTTTAATCCCCATAGTAATTGGAAATTTATTTGTATTTGTATTCTATTCTAATTCTTATATTCTAATTCTTAGTGCTAAATCTCAATTTTAATTCATATAAAAATTGCTGTGGAAAAATGTCTGAGAGATTTCAGATTTAATTTATGGATTATATGAATTATTTTAAATTTTCAAGGATATATATCGGGGATAGAATGCGAATGAGTTGTTGCTCTTGTTTCGGAGCAACGGTGTTGTGGTCCTATTTCTGGTAAATCTTTGGTTAAGGAAAGAAAGAAAAATATATTAAATCTATTATGTAAACTGATTAAACTAATTGATCCTCATAGTTATGTTGGATTTTGTGCGGTTAGAGTAAGTGTTACGCTTTTATGTTAATTATATAGGCCATACAGTTTTTTCCACCAATAGCAGAAAGCAATTTGTCAAAAGATGGATTACAATGTTCAAAATAAGAGAGGATGATAAAATTTGGATTCCAGTTGTTTAATTAAATATTTATCTATTTTTCATAAAGGGGTTAATCAAATGATAATCAAGCGAATAATATTTGTATACGTTTATAGAATTACTTACCTACTTAATGTTACACCAGCACTTTCGTAAACGATTACTTCTTCACGGTCGTGGTCGATTGAACTTTCTAAATATGGAAACTTAACTTCTGTTTAGAAAGAAATTTCCTCAATTTATAAGGAAATAAAGAGGAAAGCACAGTGGATGGGAAATAAAATATTTTGCTAAGGGAGAAAATTGTTGGCGAATTCAAGAAATACATCATTTTCATATTTATTTTTTTCTTTTCATTTAGGTTAAAATTAATTACCTTTGGATTTTAATTGTCTACATTTAAAAGAACTTACCCACTACTCTACGAGAATTGAACATTATTTTCAGGATCTTCGGGAAATAGCAGTTGCCATCCGGTTTCTCAGGAATAGAACGTGGGAACTGCTAAGGAAACTGAAAAGTGCGTTTCGATTAAATGTTTGGCGATAAGGCGTCGAACAAACTGAGGAATCTGACGAAGATAGGAAAGGCGATAAAGATTAGTCGTATCAACTCGCTAGATGGCAACGGTTTACTTGATTTGGAAATTTTTCGTTACGAACGCCTTTTTATATTGTCTTACATCTCTTCATATTCTATATTTCGCTAGAAAATTGTTATTTTTCTGTTTAGCGAGAAAATATTCTAATTTCAAAATTTCCAAGTCCCTGAGGAGATTAAAAGCGACCGTGCAGTCATAATAATTGGTTTTTTCTATCTTCTTTCTTTTTTTTGATAAATTACATTAAAAAAGCAAAATAATGATAACCTAGTGAAGTTTCGTCTGTGATATTTCTTTCTTCGTAAATTATCAAATTTTAAACTTATCACATTTTGTGAAAAAAATTTTTTTCTTAAAAGTAGGGATTGATAGTTGAAAATAAGCTTGAATATTAATAAGGAATATTTGATGAAATTTCAAATATTTTTCAAGATTTGAAAAAATTTATTGGTTTTCTTCGTCTAAATTCAATTTACATTCTTTACATTCTTCTTTAGGAAATGATAAAAATTTCCAGGAATGGAGTTATTGCACTGAACTAATCCATTGACTCTGCTTTTTTAATTAAAATTTTTGATTAATTAATTAACATTGTGAACATCGCGAAAACTAAGCTATTATGGATGATCTTCGACATTTTATCAATACTTTTCATGTTAATGGTGATGGCGTTTCCATGTGAAATGAACAGGTGGATTGATTTATATATTGATTATGACAAATGGTTTGACCTTGTAAAATAAGAATTTTGCTGAGAAAAACGAAATCTATCCCTCAATTTCACAAGGAAACGCCGAAGGTAATTCAAATAAAATTCATCGAGTAGGTTTGTGACTTCAATAAAAATAGGGCATTTTTTTTAAAGCGAAATGTAGGTATGTTCTCAGCATAAAGCATATTTTTTTTGACAAAATTGAAATATCGACAGCATTTGTTTAATTTTTGACGTTTAGTGCGTCCAATTGCATTGGAATTCGATTTGAAAGATCGAAAGGTTAATTAGGTTGAACAAGCGCAAATGCAAACAGAATTGCATACCACCTAGCTATATTGCGATTTTTAGAATTAAAGAACTATGGGAATGAGTTGATTGGATTATTCGTTGGATCAATAGCAGTAAGCAACGGCAAATGACCGACCACTGCTGTCTCTTAGGCTTTCCAGTAAAATTCAGCATCCAGACCTGCTTCCCGGGCAAATTTCAAGAAATTTACGATTTTCTTCAGCCACATTTATTAGAGTTCGTCGAACAACTGTGGCTATGACGCATATGAACAAGTGAAAAACTAATATAAGCGATTATGCGAAACTGAAAATGAAAACAATCTAAAATGAATTTAAAGAGCAAAAATTCTATTCATTTGTTCTATTCACGTCGATTGTTTGTAATTTACTTAATCAATTTATTTAAGTGTAAATTTATAAATATTTGAATATTTACTATAAATACTTAAGTCATTTAATCACGTTTATGTTATGTCAACGTAAAAATTTAAATTGAAGCTTAACTGTTCGCTATTCGATCAACAAAAAGTGTAACTGAATATTTGCGAGATATTGCCCGTTAATTTAAAATTCCCTTATCTTCCCTTCGATTTATATTAATAATAATAAACTCGCGCAACTAACTTCGGCTCTTAACCTGATTATTGATAACGAAAATTTTAATTTGTGTGAAGACTGGTTCTATAAACCTTCAAAGGTTGCGTATATATATATATATATAGATAGATAGAGAAAGAGAGAAAGGATTTTCAATTTCTTAAAAATAGCCGATATCTTGTTAAAAAATAAAAATTTCGCCCTCGTTTAGAAGAGATTTTTATTTATTTATTTAGTTTATTGAAAACCAACGAAGTATGATGATAGAAAGCGCCATGTGGTTATATTAATAATAACGGTTAAAATAACAAATTAACAGATAACCAAGGTATTTAAAGTCAAGCACTTCCTCAATCGATAGTGAATTAATAAAAGTAGGTATTTTATCAGTATCTTGTATATAGGACGAAAACACTTTCGTTTTATTTAATTTTGAGTCCAATTCTCGCTTTAGTTGTTGATACATTGTTTAATATTATTTGCATTTCTTTATAACTGAGCAAAAAGGACAACATTATCAGCGTATTCAAGGTCTGTGATGTTACTATGCTCTGGACTGATCTGCACTTCTTGAGTATCGATAAGAAATACCCATAGGTGAATGATAACATAAATTCCCCTCAATATTCTGATATCAGATATGAGTGATTGATAAATAATTAAAAATTTTTTTTACATTAACTGTTGTTATTAATAAATTAATAAATTTTGATTAATTTTGAATTAATCATATATCAGAATAACGCAGAGATCAGAATAAAATAATATTAATGATTTTAAATAATACTACAGAAATTTTTTAAAACATTTCCAACCAATCTGCTAAAAGTTCGCAATTTTCCGGTGAAACAGCGTAACCCGCTTTACAATCGTTATAAACTGAACAATGGACACAGGGCACATGCGCGATTGCACAAACTCTTGTAGCCTGATCAAGTGCGCGATAGGAGCCATCTGCTCGTTGCTCAAGTAATCCATCCAAAACAGCGATGGACAAAATCCTTTCACAATTGGCCACGCTTAAATGTACTTTGCTGATTTTTTTCTCACTAATGAACTGTGCGACTTCTGCTGAAGTCACAAACGATAATTCACGACATAAAAGAATATCTTTCGTATTTTCGGCCGATTTCCTTTTATTCTGAAACAAGTAATAATTTACAAAGAATTTTGAAGAAATCCTACATTTCTTTTTGAATTAGAAATTAAGCCATTTTAAACTGAAATAAGTAAAGAATATTCACACATTCAAATCTTTTATTCTATGGTAATTAAAATTTAAAAAATTACTTCTATCATACTAATGCAAATTTCAACAAGAGTGTCGACGAATTGAGAATCTAATTGTTGATCAGAATAAAATGTTCCACCAGTAAGCGAATCATCTGGATCTACTGAATGTAAAATATAGCATTTTTTCGTATTACCGACCGACTGCAAACCATCTATCTATACGATTGAATATGAACTATTCCTTTATGCTTAAACTGAATAAAAAGACAAGGAAGATATTTTGCAGAATTTTACTGAAGTGCCTGTTCTTAAATTGTATATTTATTATTGTTGATTAGACCGAAAATAATTTTAATGGAAACTTGAAAAATTAAAATATCAAAAGAAATAAAAAAGTTAAAAGGACAAAATACAAGTATGGATTGAAAAAATTGTGGAAAAAAGTGAAAAAATTAAAAATTGGAAATAAATAAAAATGCCAAATAAAAGATAAAATTGACAAAAAATTTAAACTTAAAAATTTCAAATCTTTTAAAATCCTTTAAAAATTTTCATCAAAGCCCAAATTCTCCTTTCTTTTAATGGATAAGTAGCCACTAAAATATCAAATCAATAATGAAATAAAATGATAAATCTAGAAACAATTCGATAAAAATACAAAAGACTTTGCAAAAACTAACTTTTATCGCCCTTACAAGTTTTCTTTGTTCAAGACCTTTTAAAATTTTTCTTAAAAATTGCATCGATAGTCCTGTTTTGTCGCGTATGTCACGTATCCAAATACCTTTTCGTTTCGATTCCTCGATGAGCGAGAAAATATGAAATTATTACACCATTATTACCAAATTCACAAAAAATAGTTACATATATACCCTTACAAAAATCTAAACATTTTGATCTTCTATGCTGCCAGGTCGAATAATTTTAAATTATAAGCCTAAACTTATTTTATTACTAAATGCAAGGATATAACGTGAGATGACTACAGAAGACTACAGAAACACAATTCTTGCATCTTAACAATTCCTTTTGTTTAATCTGGAACCAAATATACAATTAAAAGGTATATTTTCATAATTGCTGCAATGATGAATATTTAAAATGCTCAATCATACTGGAATATGAAAACTGAAACTGGAATTTAAAAACTGTTAACCGAAAAAAGAACGAGGCTAACCAGCTGTTCTTCAGCTGTCGCATCAGTTAACTGAGTTCCTCTTCGCAATCTCAATGAGAACGAACCAACCGAACGACCTTGGAGCATCTCGATCTTGCCTGATGAAAGAAGGCTATTCACCGCATTTTCGCGAACTTTTGGTCCCATATCACCAGTTTTTTGCATGATCTCCTCAATCGGCAAGCCGTTTTGATTCACTGATAGTATCGACAAAATCACTGCTTCCGCTTGCACTTTTTCTTCACCATCCATTTTCATCTGCAAAATGTGAGAAATGAATTTACCTGGAAAAGAAACTGAATCTTCCCTTCATTTTTCTCAACGCTCAATGCAATGAAAAATTATTAAAATTAGTATAATATAATCGAATAAAAAAATTATTAAAAATGAGGAAATATAAAGCAATCCAATTATCATTTTTTAAGCCTATTTGAACTATAATTATAAAATATAGTTTTTTTAGTTTAACTTTACTTGGCATAAAATTGATTGAAAAAAAAAGGAAAAAAATCAACCAACAAGTAGTTTCTATGTACACCATTAAGATTATCAATTTTATTTCATAATTTTAATAATTATCTCAATGCAACTAATAAAGCAAAATATAAACTGAAAAACTCATAGAAACTCATAAAATCTTTATTGACCCATAGCCTTATAATTTTATCATTCAATTTAAATAAAAATGCATCAAGTAGAAGGCGAACATCCGTACCGATGGAGACTTGAATAAGACCTTTCATAATGAAATAACCAACGTAAGAGATAGTGAATTTTGACGTAAAATAATAAAAAGTAAATAGTAAATACAAAAAAATAAATATATAAAAAAAGAAATTAAAATACAACAGAAAACTAGAATTCAAATAAATCAAGTAATTCATATCAGCTAAATAAACGGCAGAATGGCTCAATGGGTCTTTGCTTTCACTTATAGTGCTTGGGGTCCCATTTTCCATTAAACTTGAATAATGCTACGAACTCATGTGTACATTGCTCTAAGAAAAAGGATATCTTGGAATAAGTTTCAAAATTAAATAGAAATAAATTCGAGCACAGTGTACAACATTACATTACACTGAACTTGATATTGAATAAGCGAAAAAAAAATAAATACAATAAATAAGACATATTGAAGGAAAAATTTTAAAAAATCATGTTAATAAACACACAAAAAAAACTTGAATCGAATAAAATTAGAAATAAATCATCTGATAAATTCCTATTTCTTGCATTTCATTTCTTCTATTGGCATTTGATTTTCAGGTGTATAGTTACTGCAAATTTTTTTGCTAATTTTTGAAAGATAATTCAAAAATTTAAAAATTTTTGTGCTAACTACCAATTCTCACCTCTCAATCGTAGTTAAATAGCTATGATTTAGTGTCGAGTTTGTTTCCGTCTGTGATAGCCATTTTATTTGATCGACACCGTCTTCTCGAGTTATAGCTGAACAAGAATCTCCAACGTTACTACTCATAATATCTCGCAAAATAGCAGTTGCTTTCAAGGAAAAACGATAACTTTCACTCATCTGAAATAAAATACTAAATAATACCAAGAAAAAATGATGGTTCCTATTCATTAGATCCAATAAAATGAAATAATCGAATAAAAGCTTCGCTAAAGCTCAGATGGATATGAAATCAGAAGGATCACAACAAAAGGAACAAAAAATACAAGATCTATGAATGAAATAATTATAATTATTGTACTTTTTACCAGTAACAGAATACTGAGGAGTATAGGATTTCCAAATTTTCCAAAAAAACTAACAGCTGTAAGAAGCGAATTCCACTGTTCCCTGTTTATACGATCCACATCTCCGAAATTATTCGCTTCAACTTTTAGCGTTCCAAATGATTCATCTAATTTACAAATCCAATTCATGAGTGCATTTTTTGACGTTTCTACTGAAATTATTAAACTATTTTCACTGAAAACTATTTTTATTATCTTAAATATTATCTTAAATATTGATACAAATTGCTGATAAAATATCTATTTTCATCAATTCCTTGCCTGTTGAGGATGTTCCCAATTTTAAATATCCTGGATCCACTCTAACCCCAAATGGCCAGGCAGAGTATGAAATTGTAACCCAGATAACTATATCTAGAAATGTATTTTCCGGTTAACGAAACCTTTATGGAACCGTTGCGAAACTCCGCGTCTATAGCTGCAGTCACATTTTACGGATTCACCCAGCGGATAAAATCTCACGCAACCATCTTCGTTCAAATAACAGTTGCATCAATAGTACCATCATACAGTGTCGTATTCGCTGGTTAAGGCATCGCACCACAAAAGCTGACAAATATTTCGCTACTTGCCGAACCCTGTGATGGTTGGCGTAAAAGCGAAGAACACCAATCAAGACCTGGACTGATATAGTCAGAAAGGTATAGGGGAACCAGCGACATATGGATTTAGACGATGAAAAAAGGGATGGCTCCTATTACTACTAGCCATGCTGCCAGATCGAGCAGCTTGGAGACGTCTAATTCTTATAGCCGGGGGAGCCAGCCTAACCAGTAATAGTGAGAATAAGAAGAAAAAAGAACGAAAATTATCTAATATAGTGATTTATCTAATATAGTGGTTGTATTTCTCTCGGCTAAACTTCCTAGTATTTAACCAATAAATAAAAAACTTATCAAAAATTCTTAAGATTAAATTATAATTACCATTAAAATGGGGAACCCTATATCAAGTAAAGAAGACAAAAAACTGAAATAATCGAACGAAAGCTTTGTATTTGATCCTATTTGGATAATTGTAATTGAAAATTCTATTCTATTCTATTTTATTCTCGTGAGCGGTTGTGTTAGTCATTCTCTCTGTTTTTCATTATTTTATTGTATTGTGCTTCGCTAAACTATAGAAGGAATACATTAATCTTATTACATTCGTCTGAAAAATATTCTTTTCAAAAGTATATTGATCTTATTGTTTTATACCGTTCACTTGTAAGATAAGAAGAAATTCCAAATGGCACCGAAAAAGGTAGTAGCTTATGGGGCCATTTCCAATAATGATGTTAGCTGTTTAAATAAAACTATCGAGGATCTGAGGTCACAACTAGCTTCCATTATGAGAAATATGAAAAACAACAAGATCTAATTATGCATTTAACTAGATCTGTTGAAATACTTACAAAGGTCAACGAAGAATAATATTAATAATTTGAAAGCTTCGTCTTCGCCAACTTCGAACATTCAAAAATCGAAACTGAAAAAGTATTGGAAACCATTGAAGAATATTTTGAAAAGAAGGAAAAAGAACCATGTCTAGTTGGCATAAACATTCCAGAGAAATCTACGGATAATGAATCTGCTACTGCCGATAGGCTCTTGGCAGAAAATATTGTAGTTGCCGCTGGGTTCATGACTGAATTCATTAAGAAGATTCGTCATCATGGAAGGAAGGGGACAGGTAAGCCACGAGTACTTAAAATTCGTCTCGAAGATAAGCATATGGCCATGTCTGATTTACGTAATAAGGATGTGCGCTCGATGGTCCTCCCTGGAAGTTTTTTTGCGAAAAGATCTGACGAAAAGAGAATTATTGCTAGATAAACAGCTGCGAAAAGAATGTTATATACGAAATCAAAGTCTCAATCTGAAAAAGTATGTCGTCAGAAATCTTCAAATAGTGGAACTCAGGCAGCCTCGCCAATGGATTGCATCGACGAGCAATTTTTTGATTCCAACATATTCTCATCAGTCTGCAGTAGCCTAGGACAAGTTATCAAGTAAGGTTAATAAAATAGGAGGTAATTTATCTTTATATATTTTTAACGCAAGAAATTTAAAATATAAACTTAAGATTCTTACTAATTGATAACCCAAACAGTATTTTCTGAAAAGTGGCAATAAATTTGAAGAAGACTTTCTAAACTTTTGTACTTATGTTGGTCTAGAGCAACATGTTAAGGTCGCCACTAGGTACAACACTATATTAGATGTTGTGTTACCCCTACCTCTCTTGTTGATAGTATTAGAGTCTTGGAACCTTTTTGTAATAGTGATCACAATATCATTCATGCTTCATTAAAATTAGACCTTTCATTCATCTCTCTCGAGATTTTCTAGAAGTTACCATCACTGTAATTATGAAACCTTTAACTCTATCCTCGCAGAAATAAACTGGGATTTCTTATTCTGTTTAGTTCCCTCTATCGATAACATTCCACAAATAATTTATAAAAAATGCGCAGTCTCTCTGAGTCTTCCCATATTTTTAATTTATAAAAATATTATGAAGTCTGGCCTTAATCCCACAATTTGGAAATTATCCCACATAGTTCCCATTCATAAAAAAGGAAGCACCTATTACGCTTCTAATTACAGACCTATTAGCTTAACATGTGTTGGTAGCAAAGTACTTGAAAGGTTGATTTGCAAAAAATTGCTTACTTATCTTGATGCCGATAATTTCAAATTTTCTTATCAGCATGGCTTTTGTACAAAAAAATCTACTTCACAAATATTGGCAAATCTATCTGATTGATCAGCATCAATTGACAATGAAAAAATAGTATCAGTTGTGTACCTAGATTTGGCTAAGGCTTTTGATACTGTCTCCCACAGCAAATTATTGGTCACTCTTAATAGTTATGGCATAACAGGGGACCTCTATAACTGGGTGTCAGATTATATAAAAGATCGTTAGCAGGGTGTATATGTTAACAACACTCTTTCTGACATGACACCTGTTAAATCAGGCGTATCCCAAGGTATATTGCGCCAGTGCTATTTCTATTATATATAAATGATATCACCACAGTGGTAATAAATTCTACTATTTATCTTTATGCTGATGATTGTAAAATTTATTATTATTATTATTATAATAATACTAATAATTTACAATAATTTATTATTATTGTAAAATTTATTATTCTCATGGTAGAGCGGATAGCCTATCTCAATTGCAGGAGGACCTTAACAGAATAGCCAGAATAACTGGCTATATAAGAGGCAAATTATCCTTTCTTTTCAAAAATATAGCGTTCTTCACATCAACTCTAAAGGATTCGATCTTCCTAACCTTTTTATAAATGGTTTCCTAATTTAATCAATAGAGTCTCACACATCTCCGATCTTGGAATAATCATGGATGAAAATCTCGATTTCGATCTTCACTGCAGAACCATAGTAAAGAAATCCTCAAGGATACTAAATTTTATTTTTCGTTCGTTTAACAATAAAACTGAAAGTTTTCTTATCAAATTATACAAAGCATTCGTTCGGCCTCTTCTTGAC